AGTGATGAAAAACCTGTTTCAGTTGGATTCGTGTAGGGCAAAGCAGTGCTTCTCAACAAGTTCTGAGGTGTCTGGTAGCTTGCCTGAACTTCACTTGATCTTTTCCAATAACTAGATTGCCTTGAAGGTCCCTGAATCAGCCTCTAGAACTCAACTCGCACAAGCTTGAAATGAAAATGGTGAACACTGTAAATGGAGTTACAATTGGCAATGGAGGTTTGGGATAGCTTAAGTGAGTTGAATGGAAGGTGTTTGAAGCAAAAGGGGGCAAAACGCACGAGCCAAATGAGCTATGGCACTCAAGTTGTAGCACCTGCCCTGTTTTGCCAAAGAAGAGTGATTTCTGGCTATGGGAGGTTTTGAGGCTCAAGCACTCGTGTTTCTTGTTCAAAGGGTTGTATGAAAGTTATCCAAAGTGTTTGTGTAAGTTGTTCTTTGCTGGTTTTCATGTTCTCAAGTTTTTGCAAGTTTTCTTGTTTTTGAAGCAAAGATGTGAAGTTGGTATTACAGGCCTGTACCAGCCATCAAATATGCTGCATACAATCCTCTTGGTTGCTGGAATTTGTGGATTTGATTTGGCTTCTGAGATATGGACCAATGCTCAAGGGATAGTGGTTTGACATAAAGCATGTTTTTGCAAAAATGGAAATTTACCTTTTACCATTTAGGGATTAGTTTTGTGTACAATGTCCAAATGGCTAAAACAAATGCTTAGACTGATGGATTTGCATTTAATTAAGAAGTGTGAAATGGTTTAGAGGCCTGCAAACTAGTAGCAAGCATGCTGGTTTGAAAATGCATCTTGTATGAACATGAATTTGCCATGGTTGAAAAGTGAGTTTTTGCCAACTTCAAGCATTCGATTCTCCCTAACCACAAATGTGTTTGAGGAGTTCTTGGACAATTTAGAAAGATTGCAACATGATCTATAATCCATCTTTGAAATGCAACTTGAGATTCAAAGTGTAACTATGTGAAAAATGTCCAAGAAGATAGGTCAAAATTCTGCCTAAACTAGAGCAAAATTTCTCTAAGTTAAAAGTTTTAGGGACCCTTGTTCCAAAAATCATCACTTGAGATCCAAGCTTCTTTTGAGAAAACTTTGTGAATAAAAGTTGTAGACTTTGTGGAGGACTACAACTTTCATGTTGTAAGTTTTGTTTGAATCCATTTGCATCATGGTGAAAATGTGGGGCAAAGTTAGGAAAAATTAAGAAAATTTCATAACTTAGAAAATTTCTAAGTTATGAAAATTTTCAACTTCAAACCCTAATTTGCAATTTTGGGTTTCTTGATGAACAAGTTTCGTAATTTGACACATCTTGATGAAAAATGACCCTTGGCACTTGATTTTGACCAAAAAGTCAAAGTTTGACTTTTTAGTGTACAGTCAAATTTTGATCAGTTGACTGAAAAATTCATCTGTCAATCCCATGCATTTGAGATCTTTTGAACTAATTGAATAGGTCAAGATGATGCCATGGAGTCCTTGAGTCCATGGTTGAGCTTAATTTTCCATTGGCTAGGTCAAACAGTCAAAAATTGTCTTTGTACAGTCAAAACCCTAAAAATGACCATTTTGCCCTCTTGGTGATCTGATCAAATTTCTTGTGGAGTTGTGGTCCAAACTTGATCCAATGGTTCATATGAGTTCATAATGTTGACGTGGGTCAAAATTCACGAGGTTTGACTGTAAATTGGCCACAGTTGACTTTTTCCCCAATACAGCTGATTTCTAGGTCAACTGTCCAATTGACTGGGCAAAAATTTGATTCAAGGCTTGAAACTTGGTATGGAAAAACTCATGAGTCCATCATGAAGTATGAAAGTTACTTTGGGCATTGTAAGTCAAAAAATCCATGTGCAGACTCAAACCCTAATTTAGGTCAACAGTGCAAGGAGGTGTCTTGAGCAGAGCAAACCCTAGCTTGATCTTGAGTTCCAAGAGCCTTGTGATGAGAAATGTTGACAAAAGGGGAGGGTAAATTTTGGGGTACAACAGTTGCCTTCAGATGAGAGACTCACCTTTAAATATAGTGGTCGCCTTCGACTAAGGGACTCACCTATAAGTATAGACACCTTCGACTGAGGGACTCACTCCAGGCTAAGGGACTCGCCCACTTTTAGCATAAAGGCATCGTCGGTCCAAAGAATCCATCTTAAGGCGAGGGGTGGACTTCTAATATAGGGCTTAAAAACACTTCGTACTTAGCAAAATCCTCGTGCTTTAGAGACTATTTAGTGTTATATTTGCGAATATTCTAAATTAGGGTATCCTCACCTAAAAAGTTGTATCGATCAGGCGACAAAGGAGAGGGAATCCTCCACTAATTCTGAAAAATAGGTGGTCAATAACTCCTCCCGATTAGGGGGAGCGATTCCCACCATCCAGGGTTACCCTAAACCCTAGGTCCAAATAGGCTATATAAATACTTCTCCCCCATTAGAGGAGGGGGCATATCTTAAGCAATACACATAATTACACCCCTAAAGCATAATGCTTATCAAAGATCTTCTCTCATATGATCAGACCCCTCAGAAGCTTATACCTAAGCGCATTGTCCATCAACAAGGTCTCTCACCTCACATGAGCAAAATCCCTAAACCGTCGTAAAACACTATCTTATAGGGCTTCTCACCATCGTGAACAAGTCATAACCACATATGATTGTTATAAACCTACTAAGACCTCTAAGTCACTCATGTCCTTGCAAGAGGAACACGCATGTACTTTTTTTACCAATATAAAATTAATAATTTATATGTAAAATAATCTTTTAAAATACGTATATTTAATTTTTTTGAAATTTAAAACATTAATTTATTCAACATAATTTTTTTAAAGGGAATGCTATTCACTGCTCAGGGCACTGTTTAAGAATATTTGCTTCTTTCTCTTTCTTAAAAAAAAAATTATTTCTAGTCAAAATAAAAACTTTGTCTCTTAAAAACTCTTTTATTTTGCTTTTAGCCCTAATAAAAAAAACTTTGTCTTTTATTTTTCTTTTATCCAGAATAAAAAAAACTTCAAAAATAAATGTTAAAAATTAAAAAAAGAAGGTAAAACGTTTCAACTATAGAGAGAACCCACTCACTCTACAATTTATACATTGAACACAAAAGACCAATGGAATTTTTGTTGGTTCTCTCTACTCACAAATTTCCAGTAGAATGTTAATGAAAATGAAGATCTAAATGCTTCAATTCAACACAAAAGCAATCAAATTCTCATGCTTAACAAATAATATTCTTAAACTTTAATTATTTTTTATATGTATGATATAATGTTTATGGTGATATAATTGTTGGTTTTTTACCGGCTTATCGAACTATCTTAAAAGATGATTATCAACACATTTTTTTATTAAAAGAAGAAGAGTTTTTAGTTAGACAAATAATACATGTCATGGAGGTAGAGAAAAATGTGAAGCATAGTTATCTTCCATTTATGAAGAAGGACATTCACAATTTATTTTTGAAAGCTAATAAAAAAGTTGAATGAAGTGATGTTATGGGCCTTTTGAAGTATTGTAAAGATACAAAAAAGAATTATTCTAAATTCCAGTATACTTATACTCTTGATGAAGAAAGAAGGTTACAACATATTTTTTGATCTCCTACTTCTTGTTTTGATTGGTATCAAAAATATGGCGATGTTGTTGTATTTGATACTACATGCAAGATCAATTCATATGAAATGCCATTTAGTATATTTGTGGATATGAATGATCATGGAAAATTTGTACTTTTTGGATGTGCACTCTTCCGAAACGAAACAACATCCGCATTTCGTTGGTTAATAAAAGTAATTTATATACTTACATTTTTCTTTATATACATATTTAAATGCTTCTGATTATAATTTTTTTAGACATTTATATGTTTGATGAAGAAGCCACCAAAAACTATATTGACCGATCAAGATTTGTGGATGAAAGAAGCAATTTTGAAAGAATTGCCATCAACAAAATATAGTTTCTGCATATGGCACGTCACTTTTAAGTTTAGTTATTGGTTTAATGCTATATTTCGAGACAAATACGCAAAATAGTGTGCTGATTTTAATGAGTTGTATAAGTTGGAGACATGTGAAGAGTTTGAACATCAATGGCCGAAAGTTGTTGCTAAGTATAACTTGAAGTCAAACACCACTCAACGGTGATGAAATAGAGTCTCAAGTTATGTTGTCATTGAGGAAGAAGTAATATATTGCAACAACGAAGTTTATTGTCCTCCAAAGTTTAAATCAAAAAGTCGACGTCTTAAAGGTGGTAAAGAATTATTACATAACATGCACACTTGTAGATTGTGTAAAGGTCTAGGACATAATATTACTACATGTCCTTTAAAAGAGAAAAAGAATAATAACAACAAGAAAAGAAAAGCTTGTGAAGATGCAAATTTAAACCCTATTCTTTTTTCAAAAGTTTAGGTGCAGATATTTTAGTCAAAGAGTTATTTATTTTTCGAATTTTTTATACTACTTGTTACTAATTAAAATTAATTTGTGTTTTTATATTTTTAAACAGGAACAAGTAGTGTCTCTAAGAATTTAAAGATGGAAGGTGATTCATAAGCTGGAAGAAGATTTAGTCTTATTTTGTTTGTTTTTTTTTTTCTGGGATTAATTTAATATTTGATAAAACCGACAGCATTTTTTTACTCTATAATAAAGAAGTTAATACTTTTAAAAAAGAAAATAATAAATGACACGAGACGTTGGCCAAAAGTTGTTCACAGAATAAAAACATTGGACGAAAGGAAAAAGCTAAATTAAAAGCCAAGAAAATAGGTACATTGCTGACCTAATCTTACATTTGGTACACACGCCTCCCCAATTTTACGCCTTCTTTTTCGCTGTCACGTTCACATATAAAAACTTCACAAACGCCATTCTCCCATTCACAATTCTCATTCTCCAATTTTGCTCCGTCTCCATTCTTTTCTTTCGGAAACGGGGCATCTCCTTGTTCATCAATTCCTTCATCTCTTCTCTCAATATGGCTCCCAACAGATGGATCAGACCTGAGGTACATACATACATACCATACATGATTTTATTACTAGTATAGGTTTTGTGCTTATATCATTTTGTGCATATTTCAATGCAATTATATCTAATTGTGTTATGTGAATAGGTATACCCACTTTTCGTGCCCGTCGGTATGGCTGTTGGCCTCTGCGCTATGCAACTTGTTAGAAACCTAACCACCAATCCTGAAGTCAGGTATACATCTTTCTTTATCTATTCAAATTTTGACATTATGTGAATTGTGTTATGTCTAAACTAATAAATCTATTTTATAAAATTTTAATTAGATCTATTTTTATATAAACTTGATTATTGTTTTAGGGTAACCAAACAGAACAGAGCTGCAGGAATTCTTGACAATGAATCTGAGGGTGAGAAATATTCACAACACTTTGTTAGGAAGTTTGTCCGCGGCAAGAGCTCTGAGATTATGCCATCCATCAACGGCTTCTTCTCAAATCCAAACTAAGTATAACAGATGCCAGAAAATTTGATAGTAGGACAAATAGGACAAAGGAATTTGATTTTCCAGATGAAGGATATATTATGATTGTGTAATTTCTTGTTGGATGACATTTATTTTGTCTCAAAGAGTAAAAATTTATACTTACATTTACATTTGTTGGTGTTCTTTAATTTTCTTTGGTATTGTTGGTAGAAATGTTCTTGCATCGCAAACAAAATTTTCTTTGATATATTCATAATCGATTAGAATGTGGTGTTAATTGATTATAACCTAATAAATTAGGAAGTAAATTGCCAAGTCCAGAGTCTAATAGATTAAAAAGTTTTTTAATTGACTATAGGGATAGTTTGCTATATAATTGATTGGACAAAACTCATCATCAATTAGATAGTAGATATTTGCTTCCTAATTGATTAAATATGGTTCTTAATCGATTAGTCTTGGGTAAGAATCATTTTTAAGAATATTTAAAAAACAGATAAATTTTAGAAAATGATTTATCTGTGTATGTAGATATATTACTGATAAATATTTACACTTATTACAAAATAATAATGAAAAATACTTCAATTCATTTGACGTTGTTATTAGAATTTATACTCTTGCTTCAAACTTTAGAACCTTCTTACTTTGTTATTTACTTTAATTATTTTTCTTCATTGACGATGCTTATGATAGTTTTTCTTTATTCTCTTTATTATCTTAAAAGCCACAATTATTTGCACAATATATAAAATCACATTCTCTCTCTTTTTGATGGTGACAACACACCTCTCAAAAAAGTGATAAAATAGAAAAACTAAGAAAAAGATTGAAGTGGTTAACTCTCTCTCAAAGATAAAGAGTATCTCTACTTCCAATGAGAGAATACTTCTCCCTTTTGATATTATTAAAAAGTGGGGAAAATAAATAAATATATTAAAATCATATATAACAACATAAATTTTACATTGAAAAAAAATAAAGAAAAATAAGGAGAATAAAAACACATACAACAATTTAATTAATGCATGATTGATTTAGAACTCTTAATTCAATTTTTATAAAAAAGAAAATTTCTTCAGGATCAAGCTTAACAAAAATTTATGTAAGTTGATTAGATGACGACACAAACTCAATTAAACAATTCTTTTTTCACACCAAGAAATCTTATGTCGGTCAAAGTCGTGTTTGTGTAGAAAATGGCCATTTCTTAGCCATTAACTATGTAGGGTCCTCGTATGTGATTTTCCGATCCAGGCCTATTATCCTTAATGATATACTCGTTGTTCTTTGCATAACAAGAAAATTGCTTTCAGTCTCCAAATTCTCTAAAGACAATAAGGTTATGTTTGAGTTTATCGTTGATAAATGTTATGTTAAATTTCAAGTTTTTAAGCATACTCTTCTTAAAGGCTATCTTGATTCAATGGGCTTGTTTTTCTTTCCATAATCTCTAGTGGAGCTTTCAAAGACATATTCTTTAAGTCATAGTAGTTCATATCTCTTGCTCAAAACTATCAATTCAATTTATTGTTCCATTATTTATGATGCAAATAAGCCTTACACTAACTTGTTATGGCACTATAGGCTAGGTTGTGCTCATTTTATTACTATTAAACTTGCTTTAAAACATTGTAATATTAATGTCTCCAATAAGGAAGATATCGTGTTTTGTAATTTCTAATATAAAGAAAATATCGTGTTTTGTTATTTCTAATGTAAATAAGTCTAGAACTAGATTTTTATGGCAGTATAAACTAGGTCATGCCCACTCTTCCATTCCCCTTAAGTTTTGGGATCATTGCTTTGATACCTCAGTGCACATCATTAATAGGATCCCAACTACTGACCTAGCCAATTTTTACTCCCCTTTTTATGCCTTGTATCACAAGCTACATAGCTACCAATCTATCAAAGTTTTTGGTTGTGCATGGTTTCCTTTTACAAGACCACATATCAAACACAAGCTAGAATTTAGAAGTCAAGTGTGTGTGTGTATCTAACAGACTCATCTCAATGCAAGGGTTTCAAGTGTCTTAGAAAAATTAGAAAAATGTTTATCTCCAAATATGTAGTGTTTCATGAACATCACTTTCCTTTTCCTAACATATTTCAGTCTAGTCCAATCCCTTCATGTCAATCCAACAATCAATTAAAGTCTTTTACGTTTCCTTTGTTCTCCCCTTATAAACCACCCAATACAATTGTTACAAACCCAATTGACAATGCCTACTCTCTTCAAGTTGTGCAAGATAGTTTGTCATATGTTAAATCACCAACTGACAGATCAATTCCTAGTATAGAATTTGTACACGGACATAGCTTAACTCAAAGTACCAATCTTATTCAGTTGTCTAAACTTATAGTTAATCCTTCTTAAAGTGTCCTTGACAGTCCAACTCCATCCTTCACCATTGATCCTAGACAAAAAATCTCTACTAATACAAACTGGTTTGAGGAGTCTTTACCACCATCAATACATAGTTTAACACATCCAAAAGTCATGCATAATACTAAGTGTAGTTCACATTCTATCAAATTTTAACCTAACAAAGTTGACTTTTGTCCAAGTGTGGAGCCACCTGCAAACTAGGAGATGCAATTGCACCCCTTCAACTTAAAATATTACATATATTTTTTAGGTTTTTTTTTTTAACTTTGAACCCCCTCAAATTATCTGCTTGCACCTACAAAAAAGTATTTTCTTCTTTCTTCTATCAATCTATTATAAATATATCTTTTGTAAAGTGCTTGGAAATTCCATGTATACCCTTCTGACTGAATGTTTAAACTTTTATGATTCTAGGGTTAAATGTGACTTATTCCACCCTTACTTCACTCTCATTGATTTGGAAATTAATGAATCTGACGAGTCACTCCCATATTTTCTCTCTTTTTATTTATTTAATCCATCAACATGGTTATTATAAGGCCTGTATTTAATTAGGTTGATGTGTCAATTGTAAAGCATTTTGAAAAAAATTCACGTAAAACTAAAGTTGCTTCATATTCACTCTATTCAAATGAGTCTTTAGATTTTTAGTGGCTCAATGAACCTTTCACTCCCATCAATGCATTGAATAGTTAAAGGTTAAATTGATAGTTGTAGTGGAAAATATGTAGTCTTTAAAACTGATGATTCTTCCAACACAAATCAAACTATTGCTAATCATTCGAAATACATGAACAAACTTCATCTTCCATTCTCTTCTCACCCTTCCCACTACCAAACACTTTCATCGACACTATTCCTACCGCCACCGCTGCCAAACACTGTTACTACAGTCATTCGACTACTTCAACAATGACCATGTGAAGAAGAAAGGAGGAAGATGATGGTCTCGACTTCATCAAAGCATCATCTATTCCTTTCTCAAAATAAAATTGAGGGTTACAATTTCAATTGAAGATTCGAGTATCAAATTCTTCTCTTTGAAATCTTGAATTTCTTATCTAACTATCTTTATTCGCTGTTGTTGATGGTCCTAAAGGCTCCGCTGCCGAAATTCCAGGTAAATCTTCTTCTGTCACTTCAATATGTACTTGATTTGTTTGGTGAGGTTGGAAAGACGAAAATGGAATCTCATGTTGAATCTGGGGGCTGAACCTATTATTCGATTACCTATTGTAAACTATTATTCGGTTAATTTGCATTTTAGTGACTTTGAGTTTGTTGGTATGATTTCAAAATTTATGATTATAGATTCCATTTTTTTAGCGTTTTTTTGTGTTGAGAACTGTAGTTGTTTGTTTAATGTGCTTATCTGAACTATATGATTATGTTAAGTTGACTCAATTGGGTATTCAGGATTTTGAAACTGAGATTGTTGATTTCTTAGGGATTTTGATACTGAGATTTTTGTAACAATATGTGTTCTTGCATAGGAACACTAAACAGTTAGCTTCCCTATAGGAATAGGGAGAGCCTCAAAGGTAGATTTCTATAAGTATGATTGGGGGATTTGAGAGCTATGCTAGTAGTGCGTATTGTCTCAAGAATATATGTCTTGCTTATCCCTCTGGCAGGAGCCCTTCTATGTGTCTGTATCAAATGTCAGATCAAATCCATTTTCCTTTCTCCAAGGACTCCTTATATAGGCAAGTCCTTGGTCTAATGACCATTAATCTACTTTCATAACATTTGTAACAGTCCATAAATACCGTAACATTCGTAACCACCCATAATTACTTGTAACGTTCATAACCGCTATCTATTAAGTTTTGTAACTGCAACCAACTCAGACCGGCACAACTCGACCAGGCACAGCGTGGCCAGACACAACCCGGCCAGGTATTTAACCTGGCTAACACAGCTAGGCCAGGCACAACTCGGCCAGGCACAACAAGGCCAGACACAACCCTGCCAGGTCTTTAACCCGGCCAGGTCTTCAACCCGGCCAACACAGCTAGGCTAGGCACAACCCGACCATGCACAATCTGGCCAGGTCTTTAACCCGTCCAGGTATTCAACTCGGCCAACATAGCTAGGTCGGACACAACCCGACCAGACACAACTAGGTCAACACAACCTATCCAACACAGCTAGGCCAACACAACTAGGCCACGGGCATACGACTAGGGTATAGTTAGTCAGCCTCTATTACCTTAGCATTGATCGATATATCCAATTGTACTCGACCTGGATAATTATGGGGTATATAACAAGCCCTCCGAACACGAGGTCCACTGATAGGATTAAGTGTTCAGTCACAAAAGAGCCTCATAATTTTGTGCCCTCATATTTAATTTGTTCTTATGATAATCTCTTCTTGATTGGACGACATGTGGCGGGGATTTACTTATGAATCATGATTGTGGATATTATATTTCTTTTTCATTCTTTTAGCCACAACCAGAAATAGGGTTCCAACTTATAATAGGAGAATTCAGAAATTCTCAGTGGATCTCAACTAGTTTGAAGTCTTTGAACCTGGTAGGTTCTTTAGATTCACACTTTTATCTTTATTGATTCATAATTGTTTTTGCGTTTTAGTCATCCTTCGAGGGTGCATTATGCTTAT